TGGGCCCCAGGTTGGCTGCCGGCAAATCGATTTTGTTCAGCGAAATAATCTGCATATTGGAGGCAGCAAAAGGTTCTGGATGCAACGGAAAGTTCTGGAAACAGCTTCCTCTCGCCTCCTCTCCCCCATCTCCACCAGAGACAGAATTCGCAGAGTGAGCCTCAACCTTGCCATGGCCCTCTATCCACCGAGCCCAAGCAGAACGCAGGCCAGGCCGCGGCCGAGAGCAGCGTTCAGCAACAGAACTCCACCAAGAAGGTCACCTGCCCCGAGCTTACCCCGCTAGTAACTCAAGCCTTTTATAAACTCATTTGTATTCATCCAAACGGCTGTTTTGGCTAGAAAGAAATGCTTCCTCCTCACTAGAATTACAAATAATTTGAGCAGAAAGCTACAGGCAAGACATATTAATCAAGTTTGAAAGGATGTATCTTTTCATACAAAGGTTTTCTTAAACCGAAAAAAAAAAAAACTCCCCAATCTGTACTTACGTCTAATGATGGTTTCTAACAGGCAGAGAACTTGCAGCTTGCTTTTTCATTTCATTCCCACCTCCCCTGCAGGCAAAAAATTCAAATCCTTGTCCCATAAATGCACCCCTTTAATCACAGTCTTCCTTGGTAACTTGCATGAGGTTCCAAGGAATGAGCAGCTACAGAGGTTTTTCCACAATACTTCCCCTTATCAGTTACTTGTATTTGTTAATCTGAAAAATTCCTATCACCTGATATATGAAATATGAGATGTGGAACATTTCCCATAATATATTTCTTATTTATATTTGTTAGTCTAAAAAAATAGCATTGCCTGACATGAAATAAATAAATGGAATTAAAGAAATGTTTTGTGCAGAGCAGGATACTGCTACATAGTTTGAGATTTTGTTAGTGTCAGAGCAATGCCGGCTAACTCTGTCCCTCACCCCCTCATAATAGATACTTTGGGGGGGAAGGGGTGACTCCCAAGGAAGTGGGTTTTGATAGGATGATTAAAAAGGTTAGCATTGCCATGATTAGTTTATACTTCACCCTGCATTTCAGTTAAAGATTAAGTTTTTGCATCAGGTTTTAGCTCAAAGGCAGGTTTGGAGGGAGGTGCATTTTTTTTTATATATTTAAAAAAACCCTCATAGATTGAGTTGGGTTTATTTTTAACAGGAGCAGAAGCATGGTGGGAATGGGTTCGCAGGCTCCATTTCAGCCACAGGCTCTGTTTTGCAAACAAAGAGGTAGCCTCCAGTCTCCCTAATGAGAAAGTGTGTTGGGGGCTGTAAGACACCTGTACCTCGCCCTGCACCGCGATCCCGGCCACAGGAGGATCTGGGGCAACCGCGCTTTCTTCCTCCCTCACCTTAGGGGGCGGTTTCCTCCCATGAGCTTATGTGCCCTGCCTTGGGCAGGTCCGCCAGCCTTTACGAGCACCTACTGTGTACAGACCTTGCACATGGATGCAGGGTAGGTTAATAAACAGAAATTTCTTCCTAGTATTCACAGAGTAGTTAGGTAGAGGAGGCAGCTTAGCAATGAATATTGATTGGGTTAGGGTTAGGGTCATTATAATTAAGGGAAGCCATGACGATTAAGACTTAAGTAAGTGAAATCCAAGAGCTAACAGATGCAAGTGTAGGTTACAGAGAGGGAGGGAATGAAGGATTCTGACAGGCAGGGGGCAGGGAGAGCCCCCAGCACGGCTGATGGCTGACAGAGCCTTGAAGAATGAACTGGTAGACGGGGGCGCTCTTGTAAACATCGGGAGGAAGGTTTTTTGTTTGTTTTTTGAGTTAATGTTACCTAGAGGTTGGTGCAAGGCATGATGTTAATCCTTTTTTTTAATTGAAGTATAGTCAGTTTATAATGTTAGGTTAGTCTGGGGTGTATAGCATGGTGATTCAGTTATACACACACACATGCATGCACGCACGCACATACATCCTTTTTCATTATAGGTTACTACAAGCTATTGAAGATAGTTCCCTATGCTATTCAGTAGGACTTTGTTGTTCATCTGTTTTATATATGTATCTGCAGATCCCACACTCCCAATTTATCCCTCCCCCTCCTTCCTCCCTGATAACCATGAATTTGTTTTCTGTATCTGCGTCTGTTTTCATTTTATAAGTAAGTTCATTAGTGTCATTTTTTTAGATTCCACATATAAATGATATCATATGGTATTTATCTTTCTCTTTCCAGCTTACTTCACTTAGAATGACGATCAATAGGTCTGTCCATCTTGCTGCAAATGGCATTATTTCATTCTTTTTATGGCTGAGTAGTATTCCATTGTGTACATACACTACATCTTCTTTATCTAATCATCTGTCGATGCACTTTTAGGTTGCTTCCATGTCTTGGCTATTGTAAATAGTACTGCTATGAACATTGGGGTGCATGTCTCTTTCTGGACTAGAGTTCCCTCCAGATATATGCCCAGGAGTGGGATTGCTGGATCATAGGGTAAGGGAGGAATTTATGTTTTAGATGCACCTGGTGGAGTCAAGGAAGAGAGCCTGGAGGAAGGGAGACAAGAAAACAGAGCAAACCCTCCAACAGCCCAAGTAAAGAAATTAGGGCTTAATCTATTCAAATGAACATGGAAAAATCTTCCAGATAGAATGTTGACTAAAAAACCAAGATGTAAAACAAATTACATTTTCAAAAAACCTACAAACAAGACTGTATATACTTTAGGGGTATATAGGAGACCCTGTAACTATAAATGCATCTTTAAAAGGTCTCTATTACATATGTATCCCAAACCAGTAACAGTCTCTGGGAGGCAGAGGAGGGAACTAGGATTGGGGGTGGGAGGTCTGAGTGGACTGTATTTTTTCTGTAGTGCTTTTTTTTTTTTTTTGTAGTTAAGGAGAACATAGTCTGTATTACCTATGTAATTAGAATATATTTTAAAAAATTAAGTCAATAATCTATTTTTCATTATAACACATGGCACTTAAGGATATTACATTATGTCCATCTACATCTAGGTTTGGTATTTCCAAGTCAAATGGATTCTGGAGAAAGGGAATTACTGATCCATAAAACCTAGAGTTCACAGAGTCTAATTTCCTTCTTTTACAAATGAAGGCATGTGGGTTTCATAGGGTATTTTTATGTATAAGCGTAGGAAGAAGTGTGTAAAATAATTCATGGAAAAGTCATTGCTGCCTTTAAGTTTTCCAGGCAGCTATGAAAACTACATTGAAATGTTTTTTTGCCCCCAAAGTTCATTTGCCCAGCCACAAAAACCATTTTCTCTGAAAAGGGGTGCTCAGTTACAGGGCTGGAGTGCAACATACGAGCTATTGGGTCGGCAGGCAAGTGAGTTAAGTTCTGCCCAGAAGCCACCATGTGACCTCGACATCAGCCAACCTCAGTGTCCCCATCCCAGCACCAGGGATTTTCCTAGCCCTCAGGAAATACTATTACTCCATTCACAACAAGGTTGGAGGGACGTCTCTCTGTGAGGGTAGAACGCTAGCCTTTAAAAATGTGCTTCAAACTTATTTGAAAAGTGAGATCCTAGTGGGGGGGGAGGGGAAAATTGAGAGTATGGAATTAACAGATGCAGTACTATGTATAAAATAGAAAAATAAGATTTTACTGTATAGCACAGGGAACTATATTCAATGTCTTGGAATATATTCAATAGAAAAGAATCAAAAAAGGAATGTAGATATATACATACATGTGTACAACCGAATCACTCTGCTGTAAACCTCATACTAACACAATATTGTAAATAACTATACTTCAATTTTTTTAAAAGTGAGATTCTAGTCTAAGTCTTGCAGGATCTCTAATACAAAAGATAGTCTGGTGGAGTTGAAAAACAAAAGGGCTTCTCTGGAGACTATGGTGAGAAAGAGAAACCCCTATTTTGACTAAAGAAAATATTTAAGTTATCATCAGAAATATATTTGCCTAGAAATAAAAAGGGGTTTTCCCCCTTAAATATTCACAGCTGGCTCTCTGACCATATAAAGTTACCATGCTACCCAGTGACTCAACTCCCAACATCTGTATTGGTGACTGACATAATGTATTAAGGGCTATCTAAGTCTTTGAGTCACGACACCCTTGTTTGATTAAGGTTTATTTTACTAGCACCAAGAGACTTACACATTTAACATCTGTGGTGCTGCTCCTGAAATTCCGAGCCATAAAACAAGTAAATTCAGCATGGTCTGAAATTTCAGAGCATAGCAACCAACTGCCCAGAAAACACATTTGGGAGGGCTGGTCGGTAATGGAGCGGGGCTTATCTCAAGCAGGACTGCACATCTGGCCGCACCTTCCTGGAGCAAGTGTGGGAAGAAGGAAGTGAGGGCGCCGGAGTCCAGCTGGACAGAGAGGGACTGGGTGGTCAGCCGGGGAGGGTGTCTGCTCTTTGCCCTGCAGTTGAGAAGGCGCTCCCAGTGCAGTTCACCTCTTAGGTACAGGATTGTTGAGATGGGGCACAACCCACTCAACACCATGTATTGGGGCTGTGTTTGAAGATGCTCACAGCTTACGATTGTGGACCCAGTTCCGTGTCCAGCACCAGGAAGAGTTCAGTAAGTCCTGCCTGTCTCTGGAGTATCACAGAATCTTTAAAAATGATGGTTCTGTACATGTTGAACCATTATGGGAAAATACTGATGGTCAGACTCAGCCAGAGGCAAAGAGCAGAAAACCCTCGGGCAGCAGCAATATTATGGTAATAAACTGATAAGCCCTGACACGCACGCGCAGCCCAGGGCGAGAGCAGACGCAGGAAGAGATCAGTAGCTCAGCTCACCGGCGTGGAGCGTTTCTTTCAGAAAGTTTCTTCATTCTATTAATGGAAATGAACAATTTTATATCATATCAACAGAAGTTATACTAATGAAAATTAATCCTCTAAATACACAATCTCTGCTGTTTTAGAAATCCCAGAGTCCTGGGAGAGGCGGGGGAGTGGCGTATGAATACGACATCAGGTCAACTGTGGAAAGGGTTATGACGGAAACACAAGACAACCCCCTTGGGGAGCTAGAGCGAGATCGTGAACTTCAAAGCTCTCTGACAAGTACAGGATGATAAAAACATATGGCTTCCGGACGACTCACATCTTCCCATGTGGCTGATGCCCAGAGGTCCTTCAGGCCACTCTTCCATATGAATACACATTGTGGTTTAGGTGCAGATGCATCAGAGAGAGATGGGGGTGACCAAATCGCCATAGCGCTATCCCACCAAGATGACACCCAGGCTCCTACCCACGTCTGACCAATGTCCTACGCCAGGAACAAGCAGCCTCTAATGTCTCTGCCATTGCCTGCCCCAGTGTCCCATTTTCACAATGCCACCCAGCCCTGGGTTCCTTCAAGCCATGGCCCATGTCCTCCCCCCTCTCCCGACACTTATATGTCAATAACATGGCACAACTTCAGATGTGCTGGCTGCATCTTGCCAAAGCACAGCAAGAGGGAGTGTCGTCCCCTTCCCCCCAATGACAGAATTGGACCATCCCAAGCCAGGAAGCGTAGCAGGAATTTGTGATCTTACTGTTTAATTACAGCCACAGAAGTGTGATTTACGAAGGGGCGAAACAATAGACTTTGTCCAAAAATAGGGCAGCAGTTAATTAAATTGCAGTACATCCATTCAGTGGAAAATCCCTTATCTGTTTTAAAAGATGACTTCATAAAGACGATGTGGGAATGGAAAAAAGCACGTGGTATAAAACTGAGAAAAGATACCGTACAAAATTGTATATGCATTATGATTTATACATACACATCTAAATGTAAATGCATGGATAACCACAAGTCTTACTGTAGAAGAGAATTAATAGGAGCACTGGCAGGGAACAGAGCATCTCTCTAAGTAAGTGACTTAGTTGGTTTTCAGAAGTGGTGGGATCATGTTGTTTTTTTTTTCCCCCGCTATTGTCCCAAATTTCTATGATGTTGTATATAACGTGTAATTGCAAAATCATCATCTGAGAGAGCATGAGTTTTGTTTCCTGGCAGAGACTTTCCAAAGTTGAAATGGACAAACTAAACTGCCCAGGTTTTGAGGGGCACATCTGGTAGCTAACCCACCCCAGTGGCCTGGCTGGAGGTGGTGGTAGGACAGCACAAAGGAGGCCAGACTGAGGTCTTCCCTCCTCGTGGAGAACAGGAACCCATCGTCACTGCTACCGCTTCTCTTAATGTTTTCCTGGGGAGGTAGGAAAGCATCACAGCTGTGCTGTTCAGGGCTCTGGCTCGGCACTTAAGCTGATAGAAAAAAATGTATCAGAAAATCTTGGCGGAGTTTGTAAGTTCAAACAAACTTTGGCTACCTCTGTGCACAGATTGTCGGATGGGGGGCTGTCCATCTCGGGGAGCCCACAGCTCAGGTTTTCAGCTTCATCCCAGAGGGCTAGCCCTGCACTTGCTCTGTTTTTGCCCTTGGAGCCCCAGAGCTCCGGGGATCCAGGGTCCAGCTGGAATCCAGCTGCTCCAGAGGACTTGTCCCAGGGCAGCCAGTGGAGAGAGTGGGAAATTGAGGACCAGAGTCAGGGCCGGGCAGTCCGCCACCAGCAGGGCATCCCAGCTCTCTCCTTGTATCAGGTTAGACACAGAAATTAACTCACCCAGACTGGACTCATTTCCAAAAAATGACTCCACTGTGTTACATTTTTAATGTTGTGTCCCTGGCTTTGACCTTCTGTATGACAGAGGCAGCTCAATGAAGAATGTCTCTGAATCATTTAAGAAGATGTTAAAGAAGCTTCCGATTACTCTGTTTGATGTCATTTGTCTAAGGATTCATGGGACAAATTATTTTCATAAATCTAGTGTGAGTAAAGTGTATGCTTCTTGAAGATAATTTTTTAAACTTTTTTTTTCATTTTTCCTTTGGCAGCCAGAAACTCAAAGTTAAAGCTCATGTTTAGTTACACTAACAACATTAATGTATGTTTATGGCATATTTGCTCCTCCCCTCCACCATCTTTCTACATGTTAAAAACATTTTTTCTTTTTTTCAACAGACTTTCTATTTCATTGTAAATGGCCTTAAATTCATTCTAGGAGGAGACAGTTTATAAATAAACTTGCATAGCACCATTTCTTGAGGAAATTGACCATTGACCCAGCTTCATACGTTAAACAAGGTTGTTAACATTGCTTAACCAAAAACAAATTCACAGTCAGGACAAATCCAGAACACAGCTTTCTATACGGCAACTGGAGCAGGCAGTTCAAAAGTCAAAGCCCGAGCAAAACAAGGCTGAGAGACTTCTACATGAAAAGAGACAAAAAGGCACAACAACCCACATGCCGACCTTTGATTGGATCCTTGTTCAAGGAGAAAAAAAAACCAACCCAGCTATAAAAGATGTTTTTGATGCAATTGGGAAATTTGAATATGAACTGGATAGCAGATGAAAATTAAAGTAAATTTTAATAGGTGTGCTAATGATATTGTGGATATATTGGAGAATGTTTTTCAGAGAGTGAAATATTTATTGTGAAGTATCATGACTGTTTATAATTTACCTTTAAATGGATAAGAAAAGCAAAACATATATGTGTGTATACATAGATATTTTATATATCTATATATATATATATCTATATCTATATCTATATATATATCATGCAGGGAGAGAACAAATATGACAAAATGTAAACAATTGCTAGATCCAGGAAACAGTTACTCATTGTACTGTTCTTTGATCTTTGCTGTGTGTTTGAAAACTTTCACAGTAGGTTGGGCAAAGGTATACAAAACTTCAGCATCTATAACGTAGATTGACCAAAGGTGTTTTAAACCTGATGGCAAGTCATTTTTTGGAACCCCAGGTGCACCTCAAACTTAAATGACTAAGGCTGACACTACTGGGGTTCAAGGAACAGTGATAAACTCAGCAGGAAAAAGGGAAAGCAACCACCGCCACCATGTCCCTCCGAGCTCAGTGCACCCACTCACCTGGGGCAGCTAGACTCGGCTGCCTCTCGGGTGGTACAGCAAGACACGCGCACTGGAATTAGGATGCTTCAGTTCCAGAGAAGCCACCTCTATTAAAATCTATTTCCGTAGTCTGCATGGGCACGTTTATTTCACATATGCAACCCAGCCAGTACCAGGATATGCACGGACTGCCTCCTATACCTGTGGAGATCACCCAGACCCAAACATATGCAGAAACAGAAGCAGTAGGAAGCCCCTGTCACCTGACCGCCAGCACCACTTCCAAAGCTGCAAAAGTCCCAGTTGTGTCTCTCCAGGTTCCACCTCCCGCACGGAGGCTGCTGACCAGTGAAACTCTCTGACTCAAGCTTTTAATCATAGATTTAGATCGAGATATCTTACCTTGACCCTGCTCCAAACTACTGGCTGGGAAGTCTGTTGCCACTCACGTCAATTTAAGGGAATGAAGCCGTGGATGGACATGAAATGACTTAGGTTTTATCACAACGTCCTTTGGCAAGTTGATTGTGAGTAGGCAAGATGTAGTTCAAATGAGACATGTATCCCTTAAACGACGGTGACCGGGGAGTAAGAGAGAGGCAGACAGAATTGACAGTTTGCTAATGGGGTGAGAGAAGAAGGGAAACAAGGGAGGCTCCTAGATTTCTGGTTTAAGCAAATCCTGACGCCAATTAGGGAGAGGGGGATGACTAGGAGTGGGCAGACTGGTGCAGAGAACACTGACATCAACAGAGTTTTTCATCTTCTGAAGAATACCTCATCCCTTTTGGTCAGTTAATCAACCTGGTACTTGTTGAGGTTTACCATGCATTGAGCTCATCACATTTATCTTGACCATATATTTTTTTCAAAGATGATTTGAAAGGACTTGCATTTGAAGTCACAAGTACAAAAAAACTATTGAAAAGGTGTGTGTGTGTGAAAGTACAAGAGCCAAGTAACTAAGGATGGGAAGAATCATATCCAACTCTTAATTCGAAAAGAAGCTGCTATGATTGCAAGCACAAAACTTAGCGCTGAGCTTCCCAGCAGCCAAAGAAAAAAGGGAGAGGTGAATTTTGCAGAAGTGATTGTCTAATAACAGGAAGCATGCTGGCTTGTGTGGAGAAATAAAACTGTTCTTATTCTCCACTTTGAAAGCATTTTGGTCACTCCAGAGCTTCTCTCCAGGCCAGTGATCACTATGGCAAAAAAATTTTGTCAGTAACAGTTTAACACAAAATACAAAGGCCTTCTATATAAAACCTGAAAAAGACAGCTCAAATGCCCAGTAGAATGGACCATAGAGGGCATTGGTCAAGGACACAGGTCTCTTTCTTTGGTTTTGTTTTTAATAGTGTCATTGTGATTGTTACCTTGATAGCCACTGATTTAACTACAGTTTCTTTTTGTCTTAGGATGTACATCTTTTGAGTATCTCTCTCTCTCTGTCTCTCTCAAGATGTGTGTGTGTGTGTGTGTGTGTGTGTGTGTGTACTCCATTTGAGAGTTAATTGCAGGCTTTCTAACACGTTTTAATAAACCTCACATACTCCCCCTCCCCCACCAGGAAAATTCTGACTTCATTTGCTTTGGGAGAACAACTGTCACACAACAGACTTTCCAGACCTTCTTCATGTCACAGTGGAAATAAAGAATCATGAACTCCTTTGTTTCTGTCCTCTGCTCTGCTGACCCACGCTGTGACTGCCAGGGAGCCCCCTCTTACATCACAAGCTACTTTTTGGGAGACCCTGGGTACTGTTAAGCTCCTTGGGACCAGCCTGAACCAGATTCCAGTCTAAATTTCCTGAAGCTGGGAGAAAGAGCCCCCCAGTGCGTGGGATGAGCTGGAAGCACCCAGGAGGTGCCTGGGATGGCCAAGCCCCGGGGGCAACCCCGAACTCACCCCTGGGTGGCTTCACAGCAGCTCATGGCCGTTCATGGGTCACCAGCAGGGTTACAGCGGCACCCCGTTCCCTCCTCGAAAGCGGGTCGTGAGCCCCGGGGCAGCCCCGGAGCGCTGGGGCTTCAGTGGCCCGCGAGTGGCCCCCGCATCGCGAGCGGAGCGGGATGAATAATTGACTGATTGAGGCGGCGGAGTGGAATTACCGCTGCGGGCGGTCTCACCGCAGCCCGCACCTGCCCTGCGCTGCCGCTGCCACCACCCCCTCCCTCCGCGAGCACCGCTCTCTCCCTACGACGCCCTTGCCAGCCTGGCCTAGCGCACTGCCTCCCGGCTGGGAACACATCTGCATACCGCATTTCAGGTTCAAATGCATGCGCATAACACAGGGGATTAATGAGCAACCTGGCGAGGTCCCCCTCCTGCCTGGCGGGAGGGGTGTGAAAGCCCAGCGGGCTGCGACACCCCCCCACCCCGAGGAAGGGCTGAGGGACCCGTCTGCTGGGGCTGGGGCTGCCCCTGGGGTGCAGGGAGCCCCAGTTTCCAAACCGAGGTGCTCAGAGTGCAACCGCTTTTCACCTCTATTCTCTGCCTTTTTTCATTCATGTTTTTCCTCAGCAGTTATTCATTGAGCATCTACCATGTGCCAGGGCTTGGGATGGGAGGAGGGGCAGCCTTAAACCACACAAGCCCCTGCTCTCACGGAGCCTCCATTTGGTGGGGAAGGGGAGACAGACAATAAAGAATAACATGGGGGGGAGCGGGGAGTGATAAGAGCTATTACCCAGAAAGGGCAAGGAGAGCAAGGAAAGTGATGAGAAGTTATTCAAGACATTGAAGAGTTATTTCCCTCTAGCTCGTCTTAGATTCTTACTATAACTTAATAACTATGGTGTTCTTTGCTGATAGCACATACTGAGCATTATAAGTGCTTTAGCATTTTTGCTTTATGAAATTGTCACAACAGCCTAATGACACAGATCTTATTGTGCCCATTTATGAAAGAGGACACTGAGGCAATGGATCCCAAGGCCACACAGCTACTACATGGTCAAGGAGGGACTTGAACTCAGGCTAGTTGGCTCCAGGGCCCCACTCTGAAATGCTCTGCCAACACTTACATATACATAGACACACACACACACACACACACACACACACACACACACACACACACACACACACACACACACATTTCCCCCTCCTTTCCAAATATATGATGAGGCCAAAAATAACCTAATGTGCATAAAAGCGTTTTGAAACATAAAGGGCCACCTCCATACATGGTGTTTCTCCTCCTTTTTGCCTAAATTTCTAGTTGATTCCTAAAAAGGCAAGAGAAGGCATGGTAATTGGGACCATTTACTAGGTGAGGAAACTAAATCCCCAAGCTGCCAGCAGACAGGTGGCCTGTGCCACCAGTTCCACCCACTATGCTGAGCTGCACCTGCTCTGGCTGTGATGCTAGTGGCCAGGTTTCAATGTGGGGACCCAGTGGGTGATACTCGAGAAGGCAGCAGTCACACCAGCTCCCTGCTCCTGCCAACCAAGTTTCCATTACAAGAGTGCTGCCTACCAGCCAGGTGGGCAGTGGGTGCCCTCCAGGAGTCAGTGGGAGAAGGGCAGGATCACATCTTGTCCTGCTCAGGTCCTCGCACTAGGCTGCCATCCACCCTGTTCACGAGGTGGGCAGTGTGAGGGTGAGTGAAGGGTACCAGGGCATCAAGCCCCTGAGTGCAGAACCAGGGATAAGCCAAGACTCCTAAGCAACCTGACGCCGTCCACAGGGCAGGTAAGGCTGGATCCTGGGCACCCTAGAAATCTTAGCCCCCAACATTAGAACAAAGTTCTCACAAGTCCCAGAAAGTCATCCCTGCTCTGACCACCTGACTGTTTCCACAGAAGGATTAAGAGGGGCTGGAATTGGGATTTGGAAGAAGCAGCAAATTTGAAGCTGGGGAGAATTTGAACGTTCCTGTGCATTAACCACAGGCAGCTATCCCCTCCCCCTGGAGTGCACTCTCAGACGCCCAATAAGCCAAAACAAAATTTCTCCGTGTTTTATCCAAATATGCCGTGGACTTTGGAATGAACTCTTACTCCTCCTTCCTGCTGACCCAACTGCAAATCAGCTTTTGATGGGGTTGGACAGTTTGGAGAGATGGGCAGTGATCACACTGAAATATGATGACAGGGTCAAGATCGTAAGGACATCCTCGAAGTAAGACATGTGCATGGAGCAGCCATGTGAAAACAATTAGGACAATAAATTTACTAATTGCTGCAAGTAACTTAATAACAAAACCACAACGCTCTCTGCTATTAATCCTAGCTACTGCGCGGGTGCCAACTGCATTTTGCTTGCTGGAGGGATTGTAAATATCAGGCCGGCTCCGCAGTGTTTGTGGATATCAAGCAAAAAGGCTTGCATGGCTTTTGGTAATTGAAAAGTAAACGGCTCTCCAACCTCAAACCAATGCAAGGGCCCTAGGGGTTTGAGGTATTTCTTAGACCTATGCAGAGAGAGAAAGGGAGGAGGCAGGGCCCTCTCGCCTGCTGTGACTCTCTCTTGCTTTTCAGCATATTTTGCACTTTCTCCATTTAAACTAGAGCAATGGGAATTACTTAGATTTTGGAGGCTTAGGAGCTGATTTTTAACAAGTGGAGATTCAAATGCCATATTTTAAAGAGGCTTGGCGTCTTAAGGTTGAAAGGATAGAAATGAGGTAACAAGGAGATTCATGGATCCATTCTTGGGATGGGTAATGAGCCTTCAGTTTCTGGGTCCCCAAGTCTTTTGGGGGCTGCTTGCTACTGATGGTTCTCCATCAGTAATTAGGTTTTGTGCCCTGATATCAGGAGTAAATGCAGTGTGTTTGGAGCAGAAAAGGACCCTTATTCGCACAGAAAAGCAAAGACAACCGGCAAATACATCACCTTCAGTAACACACCAGTACACGAAGGACTGCAAGTTCCCTAAGTAGGTGGGCTCTTTGAGCCTACATTTCTCTTGAAGTTGCACAAGTCTTCAAGGATTTTGGATCATTCAAGTTTCATTTTTTTTCCTCTCTGAAATACTCAGAAAAAATAGGCCAAAGTGCATATATATATTTTGAAATCTGTACCTACCTCCACCCTGTATTGGACCACATCTCAAGGGGAAGTTGCATTTACGAAAGTTGAGGGTTGTGTTGGTACTTTATTGTGATGTTTTCATCGTTGTAATGAGCAGGTTTACTATTTTTCTTCCCATTAAAATGAAAATAGCCTGAAATTTCAGAGTTTTAAAGACCGAGTTTGGAACATCCCCAGGAGATGTCCAGATAGCCCTGTTGGGAGGCTGAGTGGAGGAGGGGTGAGAGGGGGCACCTGAACTCTTCTTATACGTCTGATCTGAGGATGATCAGTTTTTCCAAGAGGCCTTAAGCCCTACCTCCAGCTGCAAGAGAGAAAGCCAGTGAGGTTGGCCCAAATGGGCTCTCCTGAACAGCTGCCTTCCAGGAAAGTCAGAGGTTACAACTTTGGACTTACTAAAAGCTTGGAGAAAAATAATATTTCTGAGGCCATCCAACCTCTAGCTACTTTGAAGTTTATTTTTGGACTAATTCAGATCTTTAGAGACCTGCATGTGGGACTGCATTGTTTTCCTTCCTTATAGAATTACTTCTACTAAATTGCACATGAATTTCATCTCACTGGCCCACTTCTAAAGACTACTCGGTAAGAAAACAAATTCTCAGGCCCCATCCTAGAGTCTGATTCAGCATTTCCACGGAAGCTTGAGAAAAGCTGTAACTCTGTTGATTCTTGGAGTCAGTGCAATTGTCCCAGAACATTTCTTGCAGGTTTCATCATTAGGAAGAGCTATGCTTGTTCTGAGCAACTGGTTTATTTTCTATCACCAGACTCTGTTGCTTCTGACTGATCATGTTATGTTTTTGAGTTGACTGCAGGAATTTCAGATTCAAATCCACCCCTAGCAAAAAAGACAAGATTTTACTTAGCACATAGACTTTAAGTTCATCTTCTAATTTCTGCCTTCGCTTCCCTCTCTCACACTGTCCTTAAAATATGCACTTATCTTTTTTATTATGAGAAATTTCAGACATACACAAGAACAGTAAGTGTATTGTAATGGACCCTCATATGTCCATCACCAAGCTTCAATAATTTTCAGCTTAGAGTCAGTCTTTAATATTTATTTTCACTTGTGCTGGAGTCTTGAATCTTTGTAAGTCCCTCAAATCCTTTTTCGAATGAGATGGAGAGTACATTCTAAATAACCACAGTAAGTCAGTGGTTCTCATATGGAGGTGATTTTGTGCCCCACCTCATGCCCCCGCTTTGAGGGCATTTGGAAATATCTAGGGACATTTTTGGTTGTCACGACTGGGCGGAGGGCAGTGTTGCATTGACGTATAATGTGTAGAGTTGGGATGAGCAGGACAGCCTCCGCAGCAGAGTGATCCAGCCCCAAGTGCCCACAGTACCAAGGCTGAGAAAACTTATGCTAAATGAAAAGTATTTTTCAATCTAGAATATTCCCAGGAAGTTGAGTTAGAATAAAGCAAAAACTGTATTTTCAAGTTGAAAACTACTCTAAATACTGTAGGTTTGGTGGTTTATCATATATTCATGGTACATGTGTTAGAACACCAGTGAGAAACTGGTTCACAGAGGTTGTGTCTGGGGAGTGGGGCTGGCTGGTTAGAGGATGGGGTAGGATAAAGATTTGCTTTATACTATGTATCTGTTCATGTCTTTTATATTTTATTATGTGTGCTTGTCTTACCTGTTTGAAATAGTACATTTGCATAATATGGAATACATGACTGTTTTTCAAAGGATCAGAAAACACAAAATTCATATTAAAAAGAGCTTTTACAACCTAAATGTCCATCAACAGACACACACACACATATATACACACCACATATATATATCACATATATAAAAAATGTAACATATATATATACACACACACACATATACACAATGGAATACCACTCAGCCATAAAAAAGAATGAAATAATGCCATTTGCAGCAACATGTTTGGACCTGGAGATGATCATACTAGATGAAGAATTCAGACAGAGAAAGACAAATACTGTATGATATCACTTATACGTGGAATCTAAAAAATGACACAAATGAACTTATTTATAATATAGAAAGAGACTCACAGACATAGAAAGCAACCTTATGGTTACCAAAGGAGAAAAATGGGGGAAGGATAAGTTAGGAGCTTGGGATTAGCAAATACA